CTCAAGATGCAGCTGGACCAAACGAAGTCCCTACCTCTGAAATCTGGCAAAAACAACTGTGCCGAACTATCCAAGATCATCAGACCTCCACTTCGCACCAGATAATTACGGCGACTGTCTACACTGTTATGAACTTGCTGAGAACCGGACTGGGCGTTAGTGGTGACTACACTGCCACAGCTGGAAGCCAATCTAGTGACTGTGGGCCTGAAACTCGAGCCGAAGCTAATCGTGAACACTTGGACCCATTTTGGAAGATGGCCATGTCTAACCCTACCGGCTTTGTCTCGCTCATGACAGCTCCTCCGGCTAACGCCATCCCTCTGATCGACCGAATGGTTGCCAGAGGTACTGCTCATCCCACCATGAACCGGCAAGGAGAGGATGATGAACAAGAAACCCATCGACGAACCGATTCTGACCAGCGACACAACGGCAGAGATCCGACCGAGTTACACGATGAAGGAAGGGCTCACGTAGAGCAAGTTGACACCAGTCGAACTGCAGGTGAGAAAGTCGGCATATCTACTCATATGAACTTCCTACATAGGTGAAACTGACGGTGCAACGAGCCCAGGCGAAGATCGAAATGGAGAAGCTAGCATAGTTCGTCAAGCAGGTAGCAGACGAGGCGATACCCCAGGTCGAGGTAACCTTTCCTCATAGGATCCCACATACCTGAAGCGAGCGAGGGTGAAGAATTCGACACTCAAGGAAGACCAACTGCCGAACCAGACCAAGACGAGCACGATTACCATACCGATATCAGCGGTGGATATTCAGAGGCAGAGACGTTGGAATCGGAAGATATGCAATCAAGCAATTCCAGCTCTGATGAGAACTCGGAGCCTACTGATGATAACTTACCTGCACTATCTGCTGGACTCGGCAGAAACTCCTCAGGGCCGGTCGATGAGAAGTGGGAAGAAGTACCTTTCTACGGGATGCCAGGGAAAATTGAAGATGTGGTGTCGTCTTACCTTGAAAGTAGGCCCTACTGGAGCCAGACTAAGAGCGGTTCAGAGAACCGCAAACGCAGAGAGCTGCGATGTCTGAGGAGACTTCCCGATAAACCTCTCACAAAGACTTCTAGTGCTCACCAGAAACCTTCGTGGAGTATGTGGCCTGACGACACCTGTCCTTTCGCGAGAATATTGGTAGCGGAGATCCTCGGCAGGGACGAGCCGATCTGCTACTTCTATGGGCTGAAGAGTGTTGGCCTATCACCCCGTGCCTGGCGGAAGCACCATCACGCATACGGCACTCACCTCTGTCGATCGGCTACTGTACCACCATCACTGGTTGACTCCGCAGCAGATGCTCTTTATAAAGACCCGACGCTCAACCCGAGCGAGATAAAATCACTATGGGAGACTGAGCGTGACGCAGGCGAGTATGGAGACCGAGAACGCACGTGGTTGGACCTGAAGGAAGGAGAAGACGGTTATCCGGATGTCAAGGGTAACATTCGGAATGTTGTATCTTCACTTACCAAGCGACGTCATTTCGGCCTCAAACTTGAGCCATTCCTGACGAAGGTCTCCAAGGATTCTTCATCTGCTTCCGAGGCTGGGCCAATCATTCGTGCGTTGCTGCTGAGAAGCCAGGGAAGA